GAGAAATTATATTTATATGTTCGGTACTCCACTATGCAAATTAGGTGGATCCTACCACAACAACTACATTACATGCCTATCATGAAACATTTCATCAAAATAGTTTTATATTTATAATATTTTAAATACTCTTTGAGCAGTAAATACAAGTCTAAATGAAGACAATATATTGGATTACAGTTCTCCCTAATTCAACATGTGCAGCTAATGGTATTACTTGAATTTTCAACGATTGGACTTCAATACATATTACCAGATTCAATCTTAAAAAATTTAAATGCAATATCAATTTCTTAATCTCTGTTCTTTTAATGTTTTATCTCTTATAAAATGTGATTTTTTTTTCTCATTCTGTTATGCTCGGTAGTTCCTTATGTCTTAGTAGCTTTATTGTTTGGCTCGGAGTAAATGATTAAAAATAAATAATGGATGCAGTGTAGTATTTGGGTGTTTGTGAAAAGCGCATTTATACTCTGGTAAATATGCAGTCTGCAGAAATGGTAGCAAAAAAAGTACTTAAAAAGTAAATTTGTTTTAAATACAAAAAATAAATACTGTCTATTTTAAATACAAAACTAGTAATCCATGTATAATGCACTGCATTAACTAGATATTTTTATTAAAATTTAAATTTATGTAACAGTTAATCTCTACTCTGCACCTGATGATTGTGTTGTGCATGAAACTCTCTAAATTATAAGACCGGTGAGAAAAAAAAATATCATTTTTATCAACATATATATACAATATATTTATCAATATATATATATATATATATATATATATATATATATATATATATATAAAGGCTCTATCAGAGATAGAGCGTGTGTAAAAAAGCGAATTGAATCCTATATTAAATCAGTCACTGTTTGTTTATCTAAAATAATATATATAAATTATATATATAGGCCTTCATCCCTGTCTGCGTAAATATGCTAAAATTCCAACAGTTTAGTGGTAGAATCTCCGACTGATGACAATTCAAGAGGTTTCGATACTAGTTAAGAGGCAACCGGATATCTGGCCACATTGAAGAGATGTTAAACAGTCTGTCTGTGGATGATAGTATATATATATATATATATATTAAAAAGGTGTACATAACAAAGGTGTGACAAAGATGCATTATAAACATCACAAATTCAAATTTTTAAAAAAGACATAAGGAGAAGCATAAAGGAAAGCAATAATAATAATAATAATAATTTTGTTTCAAGAAGAAAAGAGCAAAAGCAAAAGAAAAAGCATACGACAATAAAGGAAAAAATTCATAACTAAAAAAAAAGAAGAAAAAATAATTTAGAATAGTTACATTTGAATATATATATATCTCTCTCTATACATATATATATATATATATACATATATATATATATATATATAATATATACATTTGAATAATATAATATATATATATATATATATATAAAATTATTACATTTGAATATATATATATAATTACATTTGAATATATATATATATATATATATATATATATATATATATATATATATATATAAAAGAAAGAACAGTAAGATATATAATCTGAGATAGATATTTTATTTTTACAAAATAGTGCTAATGTAAATTTTCAAGAGCATTAATATTAAAATTAATTGAAACCATGTTTCAAAAATGGAAGCTCAAGGTCCGAATTTAATTTTGTAAAGACAAACATTCCATCCTCAAAATTTTTGAGTCACTTCTTTTTAAAACTGAACTGCAAAATTCATAAATCACGTTTCAATACAGAAAAAATTCAACCAGACAAATTTGCGTGTTCAATCGCTGTATTTTGATGTATCAGTTATTAGTCACGTTTTGGTAAGGGTAGGATGTATTTTCAATGAAATATCCGTTAAATGCATGTCGTTTGGATTTTTAAAAACAATTATTGTTAACGGCAAAAATTCTTACATATTTATATAAAGATTTTTTTTTCGGGGTAGGTTAATAAGTTTTTTATTTAACTACGATTTTAAAAATATTTTCATTTTTATTTTAATATACTATATTTCTTTTAAAACAAGAAATATATTAAATTACTTACATTATGTAAAATTATTTTCAAAGTATAAGTATGTATATATTTATATTATTTATGACAATGACAGCAAAAATAGCTAATTCATTTCTCTGATTTATTTTTTATAAATTTAGTAATATATAGTTTCTCATGTAAGTACAAAGGACATGGGTCATTCAATAGCTTACATCTATATTAATTTCGTTTTATATAGGTGTTTTATTGGATAATATATTATACGTTTTATTGAACTACAATTTTAAAAGATATTAGAATTCATTTTAACTATAATTAAAACTTAAAAATTTTTTACTGTTAATTTTAATAATATTTTTTATTTATAAAACAAGTAAATATATAGAATATATATATATATTTTTCATTAAATATAAGTATATATATCATATTTTTTTATTTATTTTAAATATTATAATAAAATTTTTGACAATGACGGCATAAAATAATTTCATTTCTCTGATTCAAAATTTTTATTTTTTATAAATTTAGCAATATATAGTTTCTCATGATATTTAAATATTCTAGCTTTTCTTACCATTTTACTGAATTTGACTCTTTTAGGTGCCAAAATTTGAGAGAAAATATTTATTCATCCTAAATAAAATTTGATATTGGTTGAATCTTTTTTAAACTCATGGATAGTGCAACCTTATATATTTTTATGTTTTCGGATTTTCTCGATTTTATTGACCATCTTCATTTATTTTGACAATTTTTTCTATTTACATAATTTTTTGTTTATCCTCATCAGTTTTTATTTTTATTTTTATTTTTCCATTGTCTAAATTTTTTTTTGGTTTTGGTACTTTTATTTAAGATTATGTTTCTTAATAATTTTTCTACAAGCTGTAACTCAATTTAGTGTATTTTATTGAAAATAGTACAGTTTACTTTCACTAGGAAAATGCTTGCCTATTAATGCAGAAAGATTTTTTGTCCTAAACCATTTGGTTGTATGGGGGCGTATACCAAATTATTTTTCTACTTCTGTTTTTTTCTATGCTTTTCATTTTCATTTTAATATAAGTTAGTTTTGGGTTTTAACCTAGCCACTCTCTTTTAGATTTATTATAGGAGATTGATATGCTCATTGAAAATCTTGTCATTTGCTGAATTTGTAATATTCTTTTTTTGGATAGATATTTTTATGATAATTATAAATGGGGTGATTTGATTTAGATGTTATTGTTTTTTTATAAAAATTATTCGAATTTTTCTTTATCTAATGTTATTTCAAAAAAATTTAAAATATTTTTCTAATTTTAAATCTATTATCTAAATCTATCTATCTATCTATCTATCTATATATATATATATGTGTGTGTGTGTGTGTTTACAAAATTTCAAAAAAGGAGACTATGAATAAAGACAAATGGAAAACTTGTCTTAGCCAACACATTTCATCCTCTGATGGACTTTATCGCAAATGTAAGGATTTTATTTTTGAAACAGGTATTTATAAACAAAAGTTATTATTTTCGTTTTAAAATCCCATTTTGCGATTTTGCAATTTCATGCATGTGCGTTGTTTAGTTTTAATTTTGTTGACTGCACAGTATAGTAAGGACTGGGCATTTCAAAAAGAGCACCATGAAGATCCACCAGAAATTTGAAAATGGCATGCTGTACTGCAATCTGTTCAAAGCTATGAACATTTTAAAGTGTTTAGGTGTCAATCTGAGGACATGCAGAGGATTCGGAAAGAGTTGGATGAATCTAATGGTGATTGCTGGTTTTGAACTGTTTGTCATTCATCTTCCCCACAAGGCCCCAAACACAACACGGAGGTCTTTGTGCCTTGTAATGAAGAGGGTGGCTACTGGAAGACCCCATGTCTGGCAACAGGACTCTGTACCATGCCACAGAAGCAGAAAAACTCATTCATGGCTGTCAGAAAATTTATGCGACCACATCACCCCTTACATCTGGCCACCTAACTCCACAGACTGCAACCCCTTTGATTATTATGTATGTTGTGTGATTGAATGAGAGATCAACAAAACTCCTTGTAACATCAAAGATGAACTGAAGGCAAGTATTATGGGAACACTCACCAACTTAAACAAGGAGGCTGTCCAAAAAAATTCAGGAGATTATGAAGTTTGGACATTGTGGTTGAAGGCAATAACATTTTATTGAATAAATTTACTCTTTAGTATTTCAAGATATTTTTGTATCATTTTCGTAAATGTATCTTTTAAAATGGGATACCACTGATATTTACATTTTTTTTTTTTTTTTTGCATAATTTAGACGACAATTTATGCATCGCACCTTGTACATAAGACTAATTGAAAAGTCTAGGTAAATTATGGAGGATGCTAAGTGACATAATTTAATGTCTAATAAACAAAAGTGAGTAAATGTTGAATTTTTTTTAATAATGTAATTAATGTTCATATTATTTTATTTGGGGATTAATTTATCTATTATATATTTTAAATAAAAGGAGGTTATGAATTTAACTGTTTTCTTTTAATTTTTTAACATTTTTATAGTCATGTCCATTGGCTTGGGAAAGGAGTAATTCTTTCAGGAATGAAGATATTTGAAAAAATCTGTGTTCATTGAAACAACCAAGATCAGATGTCCATCAGCAAAAATTTCTCTATCATAAACTGACCATAGACCTACTAGAATAAATAAATAAATAAATAAATATATATATATATATATATATATATATATATATTTATATATACGAATGTAAAGAGAATGAAATGAATATAAATTCAAATGTTCATAACATTAATTTAAAAGAGAGCTCAATACAAAAATAGAATAATTATTTATTATAAATCATTACATATCTTTGATCACCACCTGATGAGATGTCTGAATTTGACATCGAAACAAAATTGCATTTTTGTAGTGGTAACTTAAATGTTCTAATGTAATAACTTATATATATATATATCATATTCTTGGTTAACATGAAGTAGGAAGCTTTAAGATTTCTATACACATTTTCAATCTATCTATCTATCTATCTATCTATCTATCTATCTATCTATCTATCTATCTATCTATCTATCTATCTATCTATCTATCTATCTCACTTTGTTCATAGCTTCCAATCTCAATCTCTTCCTATCTATCTATCTATCTATCTATCTATCTATCTATCTTACAGCAGGGAATCTGCAATGTGCTGCCATTGATGAAGCAAACGAGACATGAGACTAGATTGAAGCTACAAAATTTCAGCGTTAAGACTTATCGATATGAGAATAAAGAAAAAAAATCAATATTAAAAAAAAAAATCTCTGGGAAACAATAAAATATTATATGCTTAGAAGTTTAGCACCGTTAACAGAATTAATGGGTGAGTGACTGATGGAGTTTATAGAACGTCAAGGAGCCGATATCTTAACATGAAGAATAATAAAACAATAGCTTATTCAGATAGACAAGATATTGTGTTAATTAAATATATGTATTTTTTTTTTTGCTTACAAACTTTTGAACTTTTATAAAAAATATTCATATTGCATTTTTTGTTTACAAAATTAAACCTGACTTAAACAAAACCGAGTTAATACCCATATTTCATGTGATGAAGAAAGTTATTATAAACTTAAAATGACGGCATATATTGCTCATATGCATAGAAATATATCCCTAGTATGAGTTTGTTAATACTATTTTTGTCATGTAAACTGCAATTTTGCATATCAAACATATTTACTCGTACTTGCCTAATATTAATAGTCATATTATTGTCTTGTGTGATGTAGTAATTATCGTGAGCATTTACACTATTTTTTTATAGGTTGCATACTACACTATGAGAGAGTGTAGTGTATTTCAGTCGTGTGTTCCAATGCTATTTCTTTAGTTATTTTTTTTACTTCATACATTCTCTATACGTAATCTGTTAGGTCAGATGCTAAGAAAGTTGGTTCACTGTGTTGTGCTAGACAATTTTTCTCTCCATAATCTTTCTTACATATCTATAAGTCTACTGTCCGTCCATGCTTAGGATACTGCTGTCACATATGGTCTGGTGCTTCTGTTATATATGTAGAGCTCCTTGATAAAATCCAAAGAAGAATCAGCAATATTATTGGTCCTCATCTGGCATCTCAGCTACAATCACTTTTACATCACAGTAAAGTTACTTTTCTGTGCCTTTTCTATAAATACTTTCAATGGTAATTGTTTGGGCAAGATTCTTCGCTATGGTATCTAGAATACTTGAATTTACAGTTCAGTTGACTAGATTTAACTGTAAATTTTATGCTGTTTCTTTTCTCGCACTTATTACGTATGGCACATCCTTCTGGCTCTTTCTAGCCAACATAAATCTTCAAAAATTTAAATGCGATCTCAATTGCTCTCCACTTTCCTCCTGATAACTCTTTTGTTCACACTCCTTATTAATGTTTCTGTTCACTAATTCTTCCACAAGCACATTGTTTTCCTCTGTCCTGTTTGGCTTCAATCTGTCCTGTGAGTATCAGATTTTTCAAGCCTTCTTTCCTCATCATGTGCCCTAGAAACATCAACTGTCTCTTCTATTTTTTTCGTTTCCATTTTCTCTAAAACTTTGTGATTTTTCACATGTCCGGTCCATGGTATTCTCAGCACCCTTTTCTAGAACCACATTTTGGTTGCTTCAAATCTCTTCATCTTTGAGGAGATTGTCCAGCATTTGCTGGCATCTAGGAGGTCAGATGTCCCATAACAGTTCAGTACTCTTTTCTTTGTTTCTATTAAAAAAATTTTTTATGAAAAATTACATTAAGAAAATCAGAATAAAGCCTCATATCTCATCACTTCAGAAGTCTGTGTTATTTGGCATTGCAAATATTTTGCAAAAGGTATTATTTGTTTGAGCTTGTACGACTTGATGAAGAAAGCACCATAATGCAAGATCTCTGTAAACAAAAAATGTGCTTAAGAAGAGAAAATAATAATAATAGTAATGATGATGAAGATGATGATAATGATAATGATAATAATAACAATAATGATGATGATGATGATAATGATGATAATGTTGATAATGATGATGATGAGGAGGATAATAATAATGATAATGATAATAATAATAATAATAATGATGATGATGATAATGATGATAATGTTGATAATGATGATGATGAGGAGGATAATAATAATGATAATGATAATAATAATAATGATGATGATGATGACGAGGCTAATAATAATGATAATGATAATAATAATAATGATGATGAAGATGATGATAATAATAATAACGTTGATAATGATGATGATGATGATGATGAGGATAATAATAATGATAATAATAATGATAATAATAATGATAATAATTGAAGGGATTCCTGGAAGCCCATGCCTCAAAGAAATACAAAATTTTGTTCTCACAAGTACATCCCACACTTTATGAAGGGCTTTATCTATGTAAATTATGTTTTTTTTTTTTTTTTGTCAGTGGAAAGTGTCATGATGCTATTTCTAACCTTAGGTCCATGGGCGGGACCTGGAAAGAAATGTGTACATGCCAGAAATCAAAGGAAACGAAAACAATAATAATAATAATGATGATGATAGTAATAATGATGATGATGATGATGATAATAATAATAATAATAAATGCCCTGATGTTATACCAGACATGGTTCTCATAAATGATTGGAAATATTAACATGTACAGGTTTTGTTTTGGTATATTAAGATGGGCGACTGTAAATATCCCATTCAGTACTACAGATTATCTTGGCAGTAGCTTCAGATTAAGTCGGGCATATCTGCCAGGATCTTGGTACATCTCTTTTCATCTGTGGTTGTTGTAGGGGCGGGGGTCTCATCTCTGTCCATTGGTAGGTGTCAGAGGGGAGCCTCATTTCTGTTCATCAGTGGGTATCAGAAGGAAGCCTATTCTAAGTGAGTCAGAGGGGAGACTCAGCTTTGTTCATCAATGGGAGTCGGTGGGGTGCCTTGTCTTTGTTCGTAAATGGGAGTTAGAGGGGAGCTGCATCTTTGTTAATCAGTCGTAGTCAGAGGAGAACCTCATCTCTGTTCATCAGTGGGAGTCAGAGGGGAACATCATTTTTGTTCATTAGTGGATGTCAGAGGGGAGACTCATCTTTGTTCATCAGTGGGAGTTGGAGGGGAGACTCATCTTTGTTCATCAGCATGAGTTGGAGGGGAGACTCATCTTTGTTCATCAGCAGGAGTTGGAGGGGAGCAGCATTTCTGTTAATCAGTAATAGTAATAGGGGAGCCTTATTTTTGTTCATCACTGGAGGTAGGAGGGGAGACTCGTGGACATGCATTGAGAGAGTTGTTTTTTAAGTTCCAAGGATGAATTAGTCAACTTGGCAAAGATGAGGCAGTGACTTGGGAGTCGCATCTACATACTTGAGAACACCCTCAATCCAAGACCATCCGAGTGAACTCAGCTACCCAACCTAAAGGTATTTCTAACTGGGTTCCACCTGCAAGATTATGCGTTGTTTTTATCAAAACCTATCCCCATATCGCACATATTTGGCTGTGATGCATGTGCCTGGTATACCCTTATCTAAAATGGAGGTCATGATGGGTATGTTGGCCATCGTAAATTTGTACCCCACCGTCACATTGTTGGCATGCTACGCTCTCATTCAATATTAATAATAAAGTCTTTTTTCTTAATCTAAATTTTAAATTTTCTTTTCTATGTTTTTATACCATATTTAAATAATTTTTATTCCATGTTTAAATTATTTAATTTTTTTCTTAAATTTTATTGCACTTATTACTAAAGTTTTTTGTATTTGTTTTTTATGAGAAAAAAAAATTGTTTTATGCATATTCCTTCAGATAGTTTGGACTTTCATTTATGAGGGTAAATTAAAAAGTAAATGAAATTCAGATTATCGAGGCATTCAAATTAGAATTAAAAATTAAAAGATGATGTAAAATTCCATTCTGGTTTATAGACTTTTCAGAAATGACATTTATAGAACAAATCTGCGTTACTCAAATCTGAGAATTGTTTGCAGTGATTGTTAAAGATCTGTCAGTTATGTTGTGTGATAGAAAGAAAGTTGGTTCTTTCTGTAGATCTTAGAAAATTTAAGCCAACAATGTTTTCCTTTACTTATTAAATTTATAACTTCCACATTTTAATTTAAAGGAAGCACTTTACATGTCCTCTAGCATATTGTCATATCTAAATTGTCAATATCACTACTTTTGACCATCCTGGGTATGACAATAAACTACATCCGTGTCCTAGGTAAGACAATAAACTACGTCCACAGCAAGGCCTCTGATTGGGAGCTTTTGATGAGTGTGGAAACACCTCTTAATTGCTGGTGTTTCCAGGTCCACCCTGAGCCAGGATGGTAGCACCTGCTAGGGTCTCAGCTATGGATAAATAGTTAACCCCAAAACTGGGGTCAAAACACTATGAAAGTGTAAAAATAAGTTTTAATACCAGAAATACTTTGTTTCATATATGTATAACCACTCTGAGGATGGCTCATGTGAGTTGAAAGCTTAGGACCAACTTAATAAAAAAATATCCAAATGTTGAACAATTTTTATGTAGTGATGTAAAATGTTTTTTAAATAAAACATTATTATAATATATATATATATATATATATATATATATATATATATATATATATATATGAGAGAGAAAAAAATAAAATGAAATGTTCATGTATCTTAGTTCTACTCCGAGTTTCATGGAGATTACATCCATCCTCATCAGTACATACAGTTTCTGTAAAACAGATGAGAGACATGATAAGTGAACATTTAATTTTATTTATTACTATTAATGATCTATGTTTTTGTATCGAGCACTTTGATTACAAAGGCTGCTGACCTTTAATACATTTTCTTCTAGAAATAATGACTGAAAGCTTTTGGGACAAAATACAATCTTCATTACATATTCTTATCCCATCCCATCTTATTTTAACACCTGACCTAGACCCACCCTATCAGTTTAATATTTGATTTAGCCCATCCCTATCATTTTAACATATATTTTAGCTCCTCCCTATCATTTTTTACATCTATTTTAGCTCCTCCCTATCATTAACATCTGTTTTAGCCCCTCCCTATCATTTTAAATGTCTGATTTAGTCCCTCTCTATCATTTTTTACATTTGACTTAGACACTGCCTACCATTTCAATGTCTGATTTAGCACCTCCCTATAATCTTTGACATCTGACTTAGACCACTGAC